AGAGTGTTACATTTCAGTCATCTAAAATAATTATACCTTTATGTGCTCTGATAAGTGCATCAAACTCCTAAATTTGAGTATGAAATCGTTGCATCGACCAAAATAAATAAACTCTAATTTCTTTTGTTCCGTCAAACTTGTAATTTTTTTCGAGAAACAAGTCGTCATTTTGGAACCTCACAAACTACCTTTTAAAACATAAATTAGTTTGCATGTGCTATGAAGAATATGTTAAATGCTCGAATATAACGTCGTTTAAGGTTGCTATGTGGATTTAAAAAAAAAATATGAACTCCAATGCCTGGGGATGCACACAATCATTCCAAAGTTAAATTGGCATACTCTTTCTTTCAAAGTTAAATTCACTAACTGAAAGGCATGCTTTCAAGTGGGGTTTCCTATCAGTAGGGTAGGGTTGTGAGAACCTCATTTTAAGTTTGTCATCGTCTTTACAAGGGGTGAACTTGACAAGTCTTGAAATTTGAGATAACCGTGGATACACCTAATCTTAAATGACATGATATTTTATTTTACGTTCACATTAGGTCTTAATGCCTTTAACAAGGCAAATTCATCATAAAATACAAATTCTTGTGGCAACCCTGCTCATTTAGTAATTTGTAAAGTTAGTCATTGAACTAGATCCTCTTTAAGCAAGCCGATAAAGGTTAAAAGACTTGAGTGATAAAAAATCATTTAAATATCTCGGTGATGGCCGTATTGACAGAAATTTTCAATCGGAGAGGACCCTAATTTTTAAGACACCCTTAGATCCTTACGTAAATAATTTTGGATTCAAAATTCCAAGTAAAAATATAAGAGTTTAGGAAAGTATAATAAAATTTAAATCAAGTGAAATATACCGCCCTCTAACTTAAAGCATTAACCATCCATATTCTACAACCATTTGTTGATGGTGATAAATTTTAGAATAACCATAGCTTATAAATAGTCAATGTTTTGTTAAGCGTATTGCTGTGATTCACTCTCAAATGATCTCTCACCAATAAGGATTACTTCATTTCCTCTAATTGGTGGTTTGCTGCCAAATGGTATCGATGGCAAATGGTTATAATTAGGGTCTTATAACCTGACAATTTTTCCTTAAAATTGGACCATTAAATGACAATCATGGTCAGAGCCTATAAGTTTCTCAATGGCTCTAAATTACTGAGTAGTGAATCAAAAGTTGTATTTGATAAGCACGCAACCCTCTGTTAGTTGAGATCGATTTAAATTCATCCTCTTAGGTAAACATCAACCATAGATCTGTAAGATCTACCCGAATGATGTAACCCATGGCTACCGACAATGATCCTTTAGTCAGGTTGGATTTACTATCTACTTTAAGTAGCTCAGGGTGCATAACAATTGAGGGAGACATAACCATCTGAACTTGATTGGATTAGTTATCATTCCACCTAACAAACTCTAAAGGACAAAACATAAAGGGTATAAAATGAACAAAAGTAGTTTATTAAAGCAATGAGTACGGTTAAACAAATAAAATGTAATGCAAGTGACTTTAAAAGGAACAAATGTCGAATGATAAATTGAAAACACACGACTTAAAGGGGACTATAAAAGACTTGAAAGTTTGCTAAGAATGTGAATAGATTATGAATGCCACGCTAGCTAAACCCGTAAGAACCTACAACAAAGAACTCGTGTGAACCCAGAATGTGTTAAATAATCTAGCTTTTCCACCCTATTTGCAGATGGAGAATTGAACTCCCATCAGACTGAAATCATTAAAAATAACAATTTTAAAATCATAAAAAAGGGCTATGCGAAAAAGATGTAAGCAGATTAAGACAATTGTTAAAACCTCAAAATTCAAATTTTACGTCTTGATGGCAAAATTTTTTGTGCAAACTTCAATAGCAAAAGTATTTAATGACTTGGACAAATTTTATGAAACAATCCACAATTTAAATGTGCTGCATCAAAATTTGTGCAAGTATGGTATGGATGTGGTGAAATTTGTGTGAACATGTCTTATGAAGATACTGAAAATTTTGTGCAAGTACAATGAAAGCGTGGGAGTACCATGTAAATGTGCTAAACAACGTGCAAGTGCATTATGTAAAGGCATTGAAAAAAATTGTGCAAATATGTTAAAAGAAAACGTGGGCAATGCTTAAATTCATTAGGAAAGTGCACAAATGCATTGTGTAAATACATTAGAAAGCTTGAATGTTTTTTAAAAGGGAAGTCAAAATATGTGCATGTGCTCCAACGAATGTGCTAAAATACTCGAATTTAACATCTGAGAATGTTGTGTGGACTTAAAGTAATTTGAATATGAACTTTGCTACCTTGAGAAGTGTGAAATTATCTCAAAAAGCATGTAATATTCTTGTAATTTCATAAATTTTTTTTTAAGAAGTTAAATTCACTGATAGATAAGCATGCTTTGAAGCAAGCTTCCTTGCTTATAGGGTGAAGTCCTATGTCTGACATTTCATGTCGGTTACTTCTCTTTGCTAGGGATGGAGTATATGAGACTTGAACCTTGTTGGTGTGATGCTCGAATGATAAAGTTTCAAATGATTCATCTTAAATGCGAACTCTCACAATGAGTGTACAATAATGAAATATATGAAAATATTTTATTTTATGTTTGCATCAGACCTTCAATGCCTTTTATGAAGAATTTCATTACAAAATATAAACTCCCGGATCATTCTGCTGATATCATAGTTGGTAAAGTCAATCCCTAAATCTAATCCTATGTGAGCAAGCGGACAAAGTTGATAAGGTTGAGATATCAAGTTAAGCTCATTCAAAAATCCCGATGATGGATGCATTCACATAAAACATCAACAGAGAGGATCTTACTTTTAAAAATGTCCATATATGCCATAACAAATAATTTCTGGCTTAAATGTCGATTGTATATATAAAATCTCAAATTTTACAAAAGTTGAAATATTTAAGTTAAATTTGCCAGCTAAAACATAAAATAAAATTTATGCACCCTCATTAATTATTTGTCAAGGGTGATAAATTTAAGGCTATCTTTGAAGTGCTGATGTCTTGTATAACATATTGTTATGATTTATTTTCAAACGATCTCTCACTAGAAAGGATGTGACACATATTAGTTATGGTGGTTTTGTTGCCTAATGGCATCATAGGTAAATAGTTATGTCTTAGACTCTTTGATTGGTTTATTTTGTTGCATAATGGCTCCATTTATATAACCACCACCAAAGATTGCAAGTTTCCTAATGGCTAAAATAGCCTTGATTAAAAAATCATAGAATACACTTGATAGGGCATATGACCCTTTGTAATCTAAGGTTTACTTAAATGTGTCCCATTAGATAAACATAGACACAAGTTCTTAAATGTTTCCTTGGACAAAGCAATTCATGACTACCAATTATACTTGTCAATGACGAATGGTGCACCACAGTGCAAAGTTCCCCGTAAAGTCATGGTGCATAGTCTATGGTGTTGCGTGTGTCATTTTAAGCTTGACACACAATGTAAAATAATGAAAATATATACATTTATTAATATTAAATACCTATAAATAGCAAATAATATTTTGATTAAAGTAAAATTTAAGCATAAATATCTTCTCAAACAACCGAAATGACAATTTTAAATCATACAGAAACTTACATCAATAGATTTGAGCACGATTTAAGTATAATTTAGTCTAAATCCCGTCAAATAGCTAAAATGATAGCTTTAAATCCTATAAAATTTTAAATATTTTAGTAATTTGATGTTTAATTAATAAATAATTAATTGTGATATTAATGTATAAAACTAGAAAAAATTAATTATAATTTATAATAGGTTAATAAAATAGTGTGCGCCATTGCTCATGCATGGCGCAAATAGCACACTTTTTTGATACATGTGCCACACCAAGCAAATAACGCCGTATGTTTGTTGCGTTGCTTCATATGCCATGGCGCGTCCTAATTTGTGCTATTGGCTTGTATACTACGAACATGGATCATTCAATCAGATTAGGTCAACTATCTCTTTTGACTAAGTAGGCAAGTGACTAACAATTTTTTCGACGAAAACCTAGGATCTTGATCAAATTTGTCATAATTTCCATTTTTATTTTAAGTTTAAAGTGTTGAAATTCTTACTCTACACTAAATGTTTAGCTACTGTACAGTAGGCATTTAACTTCTAACGATTAGCATTATTCAAAAGTTTTATCTCATCACTGAGAGGGGTATTTTATCATAGGGTATTATGCTTTTGGGAAATCTAGAACCAGATCATAAAGTTCGGATAAAGGGAGAGCGGAATCTCTGAATAGTGTCTTATCTTCAATCTAATATGTCTTCTGAAATTTGGTTGTGAATACTCTAAAAACTCTCTTAGGCAAGGTCAGGTGTGTATTTTTGGAGTCACATATTTCTGGTGACTCTCCTTGGGATTAGGTTATTGACGATGGTAGTGACATGGATTTGAGTGTATGGATAAAGAAGCCACAAATGGCCTACATAGTGTGTCAAAAATGAATGTATTATCATGCATGTTTGACAAAATGGGAAATGTCATCTGATAAATGATTTTCTGAGTGGTGGTAGTATTAATTAATAAAAAGAAGGTAGTGTAAATTAGACTTAAGAGGCTATCAAATTACATCATAGGGTAGAAAGATGTATCAATAGGGTAGAAGATGTATCGATAAGAGAGGTAGAATAAATTAAACTAGAAAGATTAAGAGGGGAAATGGTAAAAGGATTTGAAGAAAATGGAATGATGGATTACAAGGATTGATAAGATGAAACCAAATAGTTGGGATAATTCTATTGATTATTATCATAATAATTTACTTGCGACATAGAAATGTGAGGACAATGCATGCTTCTTTGTAGTAAAGTTGATTTATGTTCTTCAATTTTTGCTTGTGAGATCTGCTGTTCAGTATGATTTCTACTCACTTAGAGCTATTAGCTTTATACTCTGCATACAAAAATTAATTCAGCTAATGTCATCACTACATTATGGAAATTCAGGTGCGTTTGCGCCACAAGTTTGCTCGGGTGCTTGGTTATTCCAATTATGCTGATTATGCTATTGAGCCCAGGATGGCAAAGTCACCCTCTAAGGTCTGTTTTGCATAAATGTCTACTATAATATATATTGTTTCTGCATAAGAACTCATGCATCATACGTAGGTACCAACTCTAAAAATGTTGGTCTATTTGAGGTGCTTATATTGTCTTTAAAATTGGTTTCACTTCCCTTTGCTTGGATATTTGACTGATACATTATGATTAAGTCAATGAAGTAATAAGGCCCTTAATCGTCTCATATAGTTGCTAGGTGGAAAGTTTGAAGGAAAAAGTCTTGCACCTTATGCTGTTTTCTGGAATTGCCACAATGAATTTTGATTACTTTTTTTGAGAAAGTTTAGATTTGATCAAATCTTTCTTTTTTCTATGGTAGTGTGGAAAGCTCTAAATCATGTGAGTAGCCATGGCATGCCTCGAATCTGTTAATTTAGTAGTTTTAATTGCAAAGAAATTAAAGATTGAACTAGTCAGTATTGTAATAGAAGATTTGATACTGTTTACATAAATAAAATGTGTTTTGCTTTAAATTTATAGTGAACAAGGTTGACTGAGGTTGAGAGAGTTTTTTTGTGCATGTGTCGTCAATGCTATCTGGGTTTTTTTTTTTATGTAGTCTCCATGTATTTTTTCTCGTGCCTTCTTGATGCGAGCAAAAAATTAGGATAACCCGCTAATTTTTTGCAAGCAAAATAAAACTTTTCTAGGTAATCGAAAATACTCAAAAGACACTTACAACAAAGGACGCTTACAAACTTGACATAACATTAAATACATAAACTTGCATTCAATCCGTTGCTTTGAGAAGAAGGATACATGTGGGGTAGTCACTTGCGGATAGAAGAATGATGTTATAAGACTAGACGAAGTAGAGGAGTAACTCGCAAGTTATCCCAAGATAGAGAAGAAGAAGTGGAACAAGCTCTCAAGCTTTTCCATTCCAAAAATTGCATATTTTCCAACCCTTTTTTCATCCCAAAACATCTCTATTTTATAAGTAAAAGAAGGTAGATAAACAACCATAACACCTCCAACCAAATCCAATTAGAATTGGGGAAATGAAAGGCCAAAAGTCACCAAATGAAAGGACAAAAGACAGCAAAACAGCAGCAGATTTTCTGCACAGAAAACAGGGAAACAACCCACGGAAAACAGCAGCAGATTTTCTGCACAAAAAATAGGGATACAACCCATGGAAAACCACACCAGCAAACACGGGAAACCAGCTAGCAAGGGACCCGAAGAGCTAGCATAGGAGACAAGGCATCAGTTCACGGGAAAAACAGCCAGGAAGAGAAAATCGAGAGGGAGAACCAGGGGAACAGCAACAACCAACAGAAACCGAAAAGGCAAAGTGAGGGGAAGAGGCACAAGTCCACTCCACAATAAACTCTTGAAATAATAGCATACCTTTTTGATTTAATAAGCTAAGAAGTGCATTTTTTCCCCAATCATTGAGCTAAACTTCAGCTCAAACATTTATGAGCTAACACCAAGTAGAATCCATAATTTTGAGCTCAACACCAAGCAACCAAGGCCCACCCGAGAGCAGCAACATCACCAAACCGAAAACAACAAGCAGCCCAAGGACAAAATATTCATTTTGTTTTGAACATCTCCCCCCCCCTTGCCTACATTAGATTCTCCCCAACTTAAAAAAGCTCATCTCCCGATGAGGTTGCTTTGAATTTTTCTTGAAGAGATGTAAACTCTGAATCCAATTCTTCAATCTTTGCCACATATTTTTTTAGGATTTCTTCTTGCTCTTTCTTGAATTGTTCTTGTAGAAATTTCTTTCTTTTCTCGAATTTCTCATCACATAAGTTCATCCATGATTGTATCTTGTAAAGTTCATTTTGAATTGGGTTTGTTGAATCTCCATTTGTCGGAACCCATCTGTCCATCGGAAGAGGGACTTCAAGATCTTCTGGCTTGCATTCTTTCACTGGATCACTATTTTTATCTTTTTCCATTTTTTAACTCTTAAAAAAAGACACAATAAAAGAGACCTAGGAAGACACAAACCTAGGCTCTGATACCAAATTGATGCGAGCAAAAAATTAGGATAACCCCCTAATTTTTTGCAAGCAAAATAAAACTTTCCTAGGTAATAGAAAATACAGAAAATATTCAAAAGACACGTTTATAATATAAAAACGACACTTACAACAAAGGACGCTTATAAACTTGACATAACATTAAATACCTAAAGTTGCATTCCATCCGTTTCTTTGAGAAGAAGGATACATGTGGGGTGGTCACTTGCGGATAGAAGAATGAGGTTAGAAGACTAGACGAAGTAAATGAGTAACTCGCAAGTTATCCCAAGATAGAGAGGAAGAAGTGGAACAAGCTCTCAAGCTTTTCCAAGAAAATCCTTCAGTTTTTCCATTCCAAAAATTGCATATTTTCCAACCCTTTTTTCATCCCAAAACATCTCTATTTTATAGGCAAAAGAAGGTAGATAAACAGCCATAACACCTCCAACCAAATCCAATTAGAATTGGGGAAATGAAAGGCCAAAAGTCAAAAACGAAAGGCCAAAAGACAGCAAAGCAACAACAGATTTTCTGCACAGAAAACAGGGAAACAACCCACGGAAAACCCTCCAGCAAACATGGGAAACCAGCCAGCAAAGGACCCGAAGACCCCACATCACTTCTTGATGTTTTTGTGATGGTGTTATTCAAACCTTGTCTAAGAGTTGGGAGGTCTCACATTCTAATTGTCTTGAATTAGTGTTCAGCCGTCATTATTTTCTCCGAATCGATTGGTTAATATAAATCTTGTCGTTATAATATTATTCCAGTAAACTACATCCTTAGGTAATTTGAGTGCAACCTTGCTGTTCATTAATCAAAACTTAATCTAAAGAGCAATCACAAGGAACCCTTTAAGTTGATTAGGGCTGTTAAAAAGGTGTTAAATTTCAAGATAAAAATACTTTCCGACCTTCGCAACCCATATTAAAAAGTGCTGCAGTTATCATTTGGCATAAACTAATAAGTTTAAATAGCCGAGCATAACATAATTTAAGCATGAATATTAGAAAGTCCGTTCCTGATCGTGCATCTGGAGGTAAGAGTTGGGTGGGATTTTTTTTTTTTAGTGGGGCAGAGATGGGCCTGACTTGGGTTGTGCATCATAATTAAGATGAGATGGGGGTGCCAGTTTACAAGAGGAAATGTAGGATTTGAATTGTTGATTGGAATGTCTTTATGTGAGGTTTTGGGTATAAGTAAAGATAAGTTGGAGGGATAAATTTTAGGAAAAAAAGTGTTTTTTTTTTGTGGGAGGGATATCAGCATGGATGTTATTAAAACATGTATTTGTGGATTAGCATTTAAATTCAAAGAGGTTTTTGCAATGTGGTTATTCATGGCCATGACTTATGATTTTGAAAAGAAAGTAGGAACAAATGAGTAACTAACACGAAGGAAAGAGAAAAGTCTTTTGGAATTATGACAACACCTTTCTTAATGGACTAATTTGATTTTTGATATTAATTGGAGTGATGCATTAAATCTAGCATTTGATCCTTGCTTTTCCTTTTAGAGGGGGAGTGAGAGAAAGAGAGTTCTAAAGATAGAGCATGAAATGGTTAAAGCGAGGAGTAAAGTAAAAAGAGTGGCATTAGGAAGGGATTGATATCGAGAGAGAATTTAGAATATATTATAAGAATACTTGCAAGAAGAGTATAAACCTCTAGAATCTATAATTACACAACATCAATAGATTCCCTTGGAGCATTCCTCTCTTTGGTGTTGGTAACTTTGGCCTGTGTTATTTCCAGTGAACTGGAATGCTTCTCGCACCTGTAAGCTACTTGCCAAATGTAATATCCAAATTTTCAAAAAGGTGAGCTGAAAAATTCTTTTAAAAATTATCCTCATTTTTTGCACATCCCAAAAATCATTGAAATTATTATTTTTATAGAATTTACATTTTATTTCAATCATTTTGATAGATAGAAATGTATATAAATAAGTATAATTTCTTAATTAAATAAAATATCCCTAAAGTATTAAATAATACTATTAATACAACCATGTACTGTATCAATTAGGCAACTAGTCAAATTTGGGACCTACAAATGCCTATTAATCTAGGGGAAATTTGTAAATGATATAATTAGTTAGGCGTTTGTGCGTGAATTGTGACAAACCAGTTCGGTTCGGTCTAGCTGGTTCAGTTGAACAAGCCAATCCTTAATAAAATCCTCCTTGTAACTGCACCCTATTCGCGAACAGAAGAGAAGGGCGAAAGGCTGGACAGACCGAACTCGTGCGAGGGAGGAAATTATGAGATCGTTCCGTCATTTTTAGCAATTGATCATATTTAGGGAAAAGAATTATCAACTTATTTTCATTCTTATCGCTAAAGAAGTGGTAAATTTGAAGAAATCTCAGTGAATGAGAAGAACGACTGAGAGAAAGAGGGAAGAAGGGTTGTTAAATTTTTTCTGTCCATTTCCTTATAAAATCCCTTGTTTTGCTTTATCTAAAGCAAGTGATGTTTTAATAAAGGAAAATGAATAGATTGAAAGTGAGGAGAAAAATTTTTGAGAGAGAGAGGATTTTGGGATTTTGAGAAAACTCCTATTTATAAGTGAATTTCCTATTGTATAACTTTTATTAAATTTTGTTATTAAATTATATTTTCATGAAAAATTATATTGTATGAAATTAGATAATTTAGAAAGGGAGATATTAAGTTGTAGGAGTTTGATTCTTCAAGAATTCAACAAGGAAAAGAAAAATTTAGATTTGAGGTAATTATTAATTAAATGAACATTTATGAAAAATGTATGAAAGTTAAATGATAAATTTTCATGATTATGAATTTCTTTAGGTTGTACCAACGATCGATGACTTGAAAGAATCAAATTTAGTATTTATAAAATTATCTTTATTGTATTTTTCTATTTCATTTTGAAAGAAGCATATTATTTTAAGTGTTTTAAAACTTATGTTTTATTTTTGTAATAGGAAACTATTACATATAAAATAAGCAAATGTGTATACAAATACGAATATGTGAAAGAAATATATGTAACGAGATTATATATAAGGAAAAGATAAGGTAAAATTAGAAAGTATTTATACATATATATGATATTTATATGTATATCAAAAGTATATATGAATGAATGATGTACGAATGAGTGAAAAATAAATGACAAGGACAGGAAAAAGAAAAAAAGATATGCATGCAAATTTACAGGAGTTTACCCCCATATAGTACTGACTGGGGAAACAACGTACCCGTGCACGTTAAAAAGAAAAAAGAAATGGAAATGTAAATGGTTGTACCTTAATTGGTACATTTAAACGGTGCTCCTGTACAAATGGAAATGGATATATAAATGAATTGAATGTCAATAATAGAAATGGTAAATGGAAATGGATAGTTAAGACCGAATAGAAAAATGACTTATGTGAGATTATAAGGTTTGTAATTCATGAAAGATGTATGTATATTGATTTGATATTAAGAAAGAAAGAAGTATAAGAAAATGTATATATATTATGATATATCTATTTTACTGTTTTATAATTGACAATAATTACTCACTGAGTTTACACTGTAAACTCATCCTATCCAACTAATGTTTCAGGTAAGTCTCCAAAGAATTGAAAAATGGCTGAAATGGATGAGTACGTCTATAGATGACGACGTGCAAATAAAAACATGTAATTTATGATTTATGCAATGTTAAGTATTCGAGGAAATTATGAAATATTAGCTCTTCAGTTGTTTTGAGAAGTTGTATTTTAAAATTGTTTATGATATGAATTGAATTGTTACTATCATTTGAATTTTCGTTCGCGCCTTTTTAATTCGAGCTTTCGGGCCAGGTTATGTCATAAATAGATATAATTAATTAGAATTATTACACTCTAAGCCTATCATCTTTTTATCCATTTCATTCATAATTCGGAAGCAGCTGGTGGTGGAATTAGATTTTAAAGTTAAAAGAGATGGAAAGGAAAAGGAAAAGTGAAGAAGAATGAAAGAAGTAAAGAAGAAGGTAATTAACGGAAAAAGCTGAAGAAGAAGCCGAAGAAGAAGAAAACAAAGAAGAAAGAGAGGGTGATGAGGACATCCGACTATGAAAAATTTTTCAGAGAAGGGGCCGAAGATCTATGGCTGTGATTGGACCACTTTATTTCTGAGCTTTTATGTGTATTTGATTTATTTATTTATATTTTTAATTTTTACCCTTACTTGAGGGAGTAGGCTTATGTGATCCTAGGGAGCACTTTTGTCATTAGACATGCCATTATATTTTTTCTATTTATAGTCCCCTCCCCCTCTTTGGAGAGGATGATGATTATTATGAATGAAAAATTTCTGCACATTATTTCTTGGAGAGTTGTGAGAGTTTGAAGTCCCTAAACTCCTCCCAAGAGTGGATCAAATATCTAGCATCTCTCCACTGGAACCAAGCTAGTGCTTTCCCTTCTAGACATAGCCTTGTTGCCATAAGCTTCTCCTCATTCAACCCATTCATCGTGAAATACCTATCCACTTGGTACACCCATCCATGAGCATCATCCTCTTCAGCTATCAGCATCTTCTACTTCCTTACCCTAGCATCTCAACTCCAACTTCCTCTCCCTCCAATGGTTCCCCCCGTATATTTAGGGTGGGAATCCCAATTTTCTTCCCTCCTCTTTGCATGATCCAATCCCCATGGCTCGTCTCGACTCTTCCATCTCCGATCGCCCATTCCCCTTGCTCGAAATGCCTCCCATAGTGGTCAGCCACCCTACCACCTCCAACACCTTATCCGGCCCTTATTGGAGCCCTATGAGGTGGCTTTTCGTTGAAAGAAACTCTCCTTGTCGAACTCTTGTCCGATCTCGTTTCCCTTAGTTTTACCAAGGAACCCCTGTCAAATCTTGGTTAGGGTTAGAAATCAGAACCGCTAGTAGAGTTTTGGATTGCATCTCCATAAACTTCCTCATTATCTTCTCTAACCCTCCAAATCAGGTCTCCATTCGATTCTCCAAGGTTGAAAACCTTTCTTCGATGGTTTAGAACTTCTCATCCATCCCGGATTTGATTTGCTCTACTTCGCCTTCCAACTGATCCCCCTCTTTGATGCATCTCTCTAAAGCTTTGCTTTGATACCAATTTGATGCGTCTTGAAAGTAAAAATAGTATGAAGTTAAAAAGAACAATGCAGGAACCAAATATTAGAGTTGGTTTTTTATTATTTCTTCAACAAATAATGAAATATACAAATGATCTACTACTCGAGTGGTAGATTGACTCTCTCACAAACTCTAGGCGCCTTTAGGAACAACTTCAAAGAAAAACTACAGCAAACACAATCACATAATGAAATTAAAATCATCCAATTAACTCTAATATAAACCTTCCTTCTTCTATCTCAAATCTGAATTCAAATCAGTCATCTTTTCTTAAATAAACATTTCTTAATTCCCTCCCAATCAAATCAGTCCTCTTTCCCTAAATTTACCTTTCCTAGTTCCCTCTCAATCAAATCAGTCATCTCTCCCTAAATAAATCTTTCCTAATTAATTCCTCCTTACATAGAATAATAGATCCCCTAGGCCCCACAAGGGTGTATCAATATGTGAAAGAAAATTTCAAATTTTGCGATGCATCTTGGCATTGTGATTTGTTTTCATAATTCTCTTCATATGGTACATCACTTGATACACCAGGACTCTTAAACATAGCTTCTAAAATTCCCATTAATGACCTTCATAACGCATAAAAAAATGGCTATGCAAAGTGAAAAAATGACAAACTAAATAAGAACTGAGCATAAATCATAAGTCTAGTGATGATCCTGCATCAGTGTTTCATGGAAAATATAATTGCATTCTTTTATCTGTTTTGTAAAAATTTACATGCTGTTGCTATCAGATTTAGAATAAACTAATGTTACTTTTCTTATTTTTGTGAAGACTCAATTTTATTGCATGCCAACAGGTTTTTTGTTCGTCAGTTATAATGTGATTTCATTCTTTAATATGGGTGATAAAAATTTTATTTTTTGCATTTACGAACTTATAAATATATACATGTGGGTTTGATTTTGGTTACAACACAAACTGCTAAAACTGCTTGCATTCTATTTCTCTACCGCCTGTATAATCGTGCTCATTTTAATTATCAGGTTTTTGAGTTTCTGGAGGAGGTGTCAGACAATTTATCAGATCTGGCTACAACAGAACTTAATTTTCTGAAAGAACTGAAGGTTATTTCTCATTTCTCTACTGCCACTTCTAAAATCTGCCTACTATTTTCATACTTGATATCAAATATTACTTTCAGTTAAAGGAAGAAGGGGATACTTTCTTTGGAATGGAAGATCTGCTATACTACATTAGGAGGGCTGAAGAGCTACATTTTAATCTGGATATGGCAGAAGTTAGACAATACTTTCCTGTGAACGTAGTCCTCTCAGGAATTTTCAAAATATTACAGGATATATTTGGTAAATTTGTGTTTTTGAGGTTTGATGTACCATGAAATGTTGATACTATGTCATAATGCATAAGAAAGTTTTCATATTTTTAGAAATTTACTTGAGATTTTGCTTGCCGCAGGATTGAAATTTAAGGAAGTTAAAAATATTGAGATTTGGGATGAAACAGTAAATCTTTATGCTGTTCTGGACTTGAGTTCAAAAGAGCTTTTGGGTTATGTTTACCTTGATATGTTCTCCAGGTTTGTTTTGGTTTTGGAATGTTATGTCACGGCTTCTGCAATCTGGTATGAACTTACTATTTTTATTCATTTATCAGGCAAGGTAAATTTGCTCATACATGCGTTTTGTCACTTCAAAATGGGTGCTCATCTTCCAAGGGCATTCAACAGGTTAATGGCCTCCTCTCTCTCTCTCTCTCTCTCACACACACACACACACAGACGCATCAAGTATGAACTCACTGTTGTTATTTTCTTCTTAGACATGGAAAATTTGCTCAATCAAGTGTTTATTACTTCAAAATTTTGTGCTCATCTTCCAATGCCATTCAGAATTTGTGCTCTCTCTCTCTCTCTCTCTCTCTCTCTCTTTCTCTCGCTATGTTTGCAGGCTCCAGTGAGTTGACTTCATATGATGTTATGCATAGAATTGTTAAAATTAGACTTTGTTGGTTTAACCTCCATTTTAGGCACAGAGCGGTTAAACTTAGAGGGTAGCTTGCACACAATTTGCTATCAACATCTGTGTTTTCCTGTGCTTTTTCTTAGTTGAACTCACTGTTAAAAAATGAATTTCATGTTTGCAGCTAAATCTTATTTAAGAAAAAAATTAATTGCTTAGGTTATTCTTGAAAAATATTTTGAATACACTACACTCCTTGGCGTTCTGAATGCTCAAGCTAATTGCTCACATGTTTGGTTATTTTAGCTTCATTTCTACGTTAGTTCATTTAAAGCTTATGAATGACAAGCAGCACATTGCAGAACGTTATGCTTATTGAGTTCATCCTCTAATGCCCCAGAGCCCTAAAGTTGGGCGCTCTATTTACTCTATTGACTGAAAAAACAAAAAAGCCTGGTAATCTTTGTGTTGATGATTAACTTGAGCTTCATGTGTGCAATTTCTCGCACCTTGTTATTTGCATTTTTTGTGGTTAAACGTCAAAATGGTCCGTTTCCTAAAACCCTGTTATCCGAATTCAGAATGTTGTTCCTTGAACATATAGACAACTACACTTAATGATCTCTTGTTTTGCAAATATTTTCTTCCTTTGCAGCTTCCTGTTACTTTGCTGATTTCTCATTTTCCCAAACAAATTGATGAGTGCCCGGCACTACTGCGATTCTCTGATGTCATAAGCCTCTTCCATGAGTTTAGTCATGTGGTATGATATATCTTGCCTTATTGTTGCCTTTCAAAATTCAACAATATTGCTTTTACATGATGTATGTCTGGCAAAGCCTTAATTCTTAGAGCAAGTGAACTTCACTTCTCCTTATGAGTTCGTTGCCTACTTCTGTTCTGGATATACCTTGATTGCATAGTGCATACAAGTTTTTGTGTGCCCATTCCTTGGTTTTGTTGTAAAGTGAAGGAGAAGGAACTCAACACAGATTTGCCTTTGTTTACTTTCCTTTTACAGGAGCATGAATGATGTATTCGTTTCACTTTCATGCTGATTATGTTATGAAGTGATAATGACTTTTAATAGGCCATGATTAATTCTTCAAATATGTGTTTTTCTTGGTTTATTTATCTTTCCAGGAAGGATGATTGATGTGAAACATAATTGCATGGATGAATTGCTTTAAGGAATTCGCACACTTAATATTCCTAGAACAAATAATTATATCTTAATGGTGAATTTAAATGACGCAATAAAGCACAAAGAGCGGTAAGACAAGCTTAGGCTAAACCACATGTATAAAGTTTAGATCGAAAATAGCCAACTTAATCTACATTGCATGCATGAGTGGTTTTCAATGATAATCCCTAAGCTAACAAAGAGAATAGTCACTATGAAGCAGGCCACTCACTCACTTATTAAAATACTAGGCTTTAGCGGATAAGACTAACACGATTCCAGTCAATCAATTAATTCCACAATTGGATGCAACTAGGAGAATAAAAGAATAAGGGAAAGAGTTCACCGAATGCTGGGTTTGGGACTTGGAACAGCAATCAGAAGATCTTCCCGGGCTAGACCGTGGCCCCTTTTGGCTGGATTTTGTTTGGACAGCCACCTGGATTCTGTTTGGAGAAGTGGCCTTCTGGGGAGCAGAACAACTGTTTCTGCTGCTGGAATTCTTCTGGACAGCAAGGGGAGGATTGATAGCAGCAAAACTGTTGATCTCCCTTATCTGGAATTGATGGATAGCAAGCTGTTTGGCCTTAGGAAGATTCTGGACAGCAGTTTTCAATGTCCCAAAGTTCAGGACAGCAAATCAAACTCATCTTCTTCTCTTGGCTTCAACGAACATGAGAGGCCTAGGGTTTTCCAAGGTGAAGAGGCAAGAGGAGAGGGGTGGCCAAGGGGGGAGAAGGGGATGGGTGGTTTGGGTGTGGGCTTGGATTAGGTTAGAAGAGGGGAGAGGGAAATTAATCCAAAAATAAATAAATCAGAAATTAATTTCAGATTTTAAGTGGATTTGGCAGGACTTAATTTGAATTTTGAATTCAAATTAAAGTGGGAGGGAGCCTTAATAGGAAGCAATGAAATTAAGCCAATTTATGGGTAGGCCGGTGGTATGAAGAGGAGGGAGGGAGTTGTTGGGAGAGTTTTATGAGTTTCCAAAACAACACACGTGAGTTAAGAAAGGCATCATGAAATCCAAGTTAATTTGAATTTCAAATAGACTTGAATTTATACACTTTCCTAATTAAGATTTGCAAATAAGGAAAGTTTTTGAAATTTGAATTTCAAATTTCAAATTGAGGAAAGTGAATAATAAATCCAATTTGATTTATTTTGAAATTGAATTCATGATTGATACTTTCCTAATTTGGGATTCCCTATATGAAAAGAATTTGAAATTCGAATTTGAATTTCAAAAGAATTCAAATTTTTGAAATTCAAAATTGAATTTTAAAAGAATTCAAATTTTCCCTGTCACACTTGAGCTAAATTAGGAAGTCATTATGGTGATTGAGATCAAAATAACGAGGGGGAAATTATGAGGGGGCCGGCGGCAAAGGGGAAGGAGGAGATGGCGTCGGGTGAGGGGAAGGGCTTGGAATGTCGGTGGGAGCTTGAGGTGGTGGAGCTAAGGAGGACTTGAGGGGGAGGGGATGGCCGGTGGTGGATGGAGAGGGGGAGAAAGGAGAGGAACGAAAAAATACAAATAAGATAAAAGTAAACTAACGAACTCACCAAGAGATCGTAAGAACCGCGAACCTTGGACTCTTCCAAAGATTGACGGATATTGCAAATCACCCTCCTCGGGCTTCTCCTCTCATGAACTCACTAAGAGATCAAACAAGAACAAACTCTTTTTCATTCAATAATTCATCCTCCCAAAATACAAAACAACTAGCCTATAAATAGGCCTCATGAAAAGAAAAGAAATAAAAGACTAAAATGCTCTTCGGGCTACAACACTACATGACCACCCGTAAGGATATAACCGGAAAAACAACAATATAAAATAAACTAGTACATAAAACATATAAGTAAATAACTCAAGATCGTAGCCGTTGATCTCCGATGTCCTCATCAATGATGCTACTTTATATTTATTAATGATTTCAAAAAGAAAAAAAAGGTGTGCCAAGTAGTCTTCTTTACCAGATTTTTTGTTCTATATATTTCAGAACTATATATATGCCTGCTTTGTAAATTCTTTTATGTAGCTTGCTAATTTGAAATTAAAAAATCAAGAGTGACAATTTTGATCTAAAGTGTATATTTACAATTAGCTTAGACTTATTCTAGGTTTGTGGCCAGTGTGAAAATAAAGCTAGAGTCTCCCCAATCTTCTTACAGAAGCTCATGAAAATATTTAGTTCTAATTTTGAGTTAAAAATCAGGATATTACATTGTAATTTGATGTCATATTCTGCCACGAATAAGTAGAACTCGGGCTAATCTCCCAATGGCTATAATGGAAAATACTTGCATGCTATGTGGCTTAGAGTGAGTTTGCAAAAAAATTGGGAAAGTGCAATTTGTTTAGTAGAAGTGAAATATTGAGTGGTAACACTAACTTGCATTGATATGTTTATCGTTTCTTTCCAAACTACAAAAACCAAGAGAAATGTAGCCAGATCTGACAGCATGAAAGCTAAGTGGCTATTGGTTACAGTGAGGGATAATGCAATGAGGGATGTAGACAGATCTAATAGTATGAAAGTTAGGTGGTTGAAGTGGAGATACATAAGTGATCTGTGATCAGCAAAGCGGTGCTTGAATGCCTAAAGTGTCTCAAATTAAAAAAAAAAAAGTTGAATTTGGCAAAAATGAAGGCATTTGAAAATATGCACTAAAGCTATCAATGATTAAGTGACATTACAAAATTTAAATATTCTAATACCACCCTATTTGATAAATTAACCCAGGTGGTGAGCTTGAGTTGACCTCAATATACAGATGGAGTGGTTATCTTCTCTACCCAGTAGTCTTTGTGCTCCCTGACCGAGCTAATTACCCAAACAATTGGCAACAATGCCAGCAGTTTGGGAAACTGAGTGGTTTGGTTGGTGCAAGTAACACTTAATAAGTTGTTAACAGAGCAAATTTGGGTGAGAACTTAGATTGGGGTTAAATTGAGTTGAAGTTTATTTGGTAGAGTTGTCCATGACACTAATGTGTTAGGACTTCATAGGATTGTTAAAATATCTTTCCTTGTTAAAATATCAAATATTTTGTATAACACCAGCTAACACATTGAGGTAAATTAGGGCTTGCTTGTTACAAGGGATATTTCTTTCTAAAAGATATTTCTTTTTGATAAAGCATACTATTATAGCTAGATAATGAATTGAGTACACATAAGACAATTGATAGGAATTGCCAAATTAAAATGTTAAAAGAAGAAACATAATTTTAGACACATGATGGTAAAGAAAAAAACTATCCATCTAGGTGAAGATATCCATTGAAAGTTCTCATTTGTTGGCCTTAACTTCTAGCCTTGTGAATGTTGGAGAATGATGGTTATTTGTTTTCTTTTCTATCTTCATGGAAATGGAAAACAGGATTTGAATTCTTCTATCCACTTAAACATCAGTACTTGATAAACTTTTATCTAAATCAGTAAGTTGTTCAGATTTGTGGCATCAACACCCTCAATGTTTATGGATGCAAATCAGATTATAAAATCCTACTTTTTTGCTTTGTTCAGTAAGGGGATGATTTGTAGGTTATAATTCCATAGTAATATCTAGAGTTTTTCCAATTTTGTATGCATGCTTGGATTGGAACTTTATCCATAATCAATGAAGTTAATTTTTGATTGTTTGTATGGTCCCTTTGCTCCTGACTGTTAGGATCAGTAGGAGATAACTTTCTCAATTCTGGATGGCCTATGAACTAATTAAGGTATTTATATCCAAATATTTTAGTGTAGCATAAGCTAAGGAAAATAAATTAAAATTGGAGTGATAGGAGGTTCCATGGATGAGTCAAGAGTGAAGAAACTACTTTAACTTACACTTTAGAAAGCCTCAAACATAGTAAGATTATCTTGAATTGGAGTGATAGGAGGTTTCATGGATGATTCAAGAGTGAAGAAATTACTTTAACTTACACTTTAGAAAGCCTCATACATAGTAAGAAAAATTTAGAATAATCTGATAATAGTAACGAGGATCAATAAGCCAAATAGAATATTTTCTAACTAAATGCAAATCTATCATAAATCTATCAATAGTCTTATGACTAGGACGGCCCATCGAGAATTTTCACACAAAATAGAAGGAATGGAGTTGCTAACTCCAAGATCTCAAATTAATTAACGTTAGAGCTGGTTTACCCTAAAGTGTGGAGGGTTGTTTGTGATGATGAGGTTTTGATCCTTGATGAAAAAAAAAAAACAAACAAAAGAAATTGCATAGATGAAGTCCTTTAAATTATAGAGCCATCAACCCACCCCCAATAATTATAACGAGGGATCAAGGAGCATTGACATCCTGAAAAATTTTGAGCATTTGTGTCAATGGTGGTGAAGGAATAGCTCCGATAGGGGATAAATGCTGATGAGCATGCATCAAAGAAGATGGCTTGGATGTTGAGGAATGAACCAAATCTAGGATAAGTGAGGAAGGATAATGATGACCAAATATAGAAGTATTTAATTTTTTCTTTAAAGGATGAAAACCTATTCTTACATTTTATAAAGGAGCACAAGAATAATTATAAGATTTTTAGGAAGAGTGAATGAAGGGGCA